AATAAATAAAACTTTAAAAAATATATATATATATAAAACAAGCTTTCCATGTTTATTATTATCTAATAATAAGCTTATTATCTAATAAGCTCTTACAAATATGGTGACAGTTCCTAAAATCCACTGAACTCTCTGCAAGAAGTGTGGTAAGCACCAACCCCACAAAGTGACACAGCACAAAACGGGCAAGATTCTCTGTAAGCCCAGAGAACATGGTTCTATGGCAGGGTGCAGAGTGGTGGGCAGACAAAGCCAGATTTCTGGGAAAAGGCTAAAACTACAAAGACAATTGTGCTGAGCCTTAAGTGCATTGAATCCAATTGCAAATCTAAGAGAAGGCCAGCTATTAAGAGAGGCAGGCATCCTGAACTGGGAGGAGGTAGGAAAAATGTCCAAGTGATAGACTTCTAAACTTCATCTTTTCTTTATTTTGAAGATAATAAAACCTTGAGATTCTGTTCATTTAAAAAAAAATACCTAACAATGTGAACTGTTCTTTTTCCCCCCTTACAATTTGCTCCATTCTTCATTTGACTAACACTGAACTCTTAATTCTATGACTTCCCTACTTACAATAGATTTATTTATTTATGCATACAGAACTGGGGTACAGGAAAGAGGTGCAGGGGTAGTGAAAGTATTCACCAGAGACAAGAGAGGGGGCAGAACAGGCAGAAGTATACTGCTGAGGGGAGCAGCAGGCAACACAGGAGAGGTCTCCCATACCATGTGGATCACCTCCGGGGCTAGGGATCGAACTCACACTGAAGTAACTGCGGCCCACTTAATAGTGCTGTGCTTTAGCCTATTGCTCCATCAGGGAGGGCCTGATTTCTTATTCTTAAATCCTCAAATATAGGCAAGTTTCCAAAGCTCTGTCTTTTCCAAATTTTCTTTTCCATTTGTGTAGGATCTCACCATGTATAATTTCAAGAAGTCCCATTATTTCATTTATAATCTCTTCAGTTGCTGATTCTTAAAAAGAATAGGAATATCACATGTAACTGGTCTTTGATTTCTTCACTTATAATAAAACACTGAGAAAAAAGTTTCAACTACATCTAAAAATGTGAGCTTTTATTCTTATATGTAAATATATATATAAAAGAACTCAGATGTTAATTCAATAAACTTTTACTTCATACTTTTCTGTATATACATAAACACACACACACTAAAAGTTATTTTCTAAGTGCTCATTAAGGGCTCATAGCTCCAGCTGTCTCACAAACCAGCAGCTCAAACCAATACTTTCAAATATCAGTCACATAATCTTCCATCTACAGCCTGCCAGGCCTCCTTTGTTCTAGTTAATGATACAAAGTTAGTGACAGGAAGATTTGGAGATATTTCAAGTTGTTTTACCGCATGGCAGCCAGTCAACAATGTTTACAGAAACAATGAAATTTCATCTCATGGAAAAAAATATTACTGCAGAAAAGTTTGGGAATAATAATCTCAAGGAGCACTGAAATAATAAAGAGAAAGAAAAACCCATGTGTTTTCCAGGTCAAAGATACAGGAGAAGTCTGTAAGAAGCAGCAAATAACTTGGTTTAGATTTAGATTGTGCCTGGATAAAGAGGCAGATTTTGAGGCGCGAGTCAAAGTTGGACAGTAAGCCCAAGGGAAAAACTACTGAGCAAACAGTCAAAAGGCCAGGGACTAGATGAACCTGCATTTTGGCTGAAACCTATCAACGTAAAAAGAAACAAGTAAAATTAAGTTTCTGATGGCACTCTGACATAAAGTTGTTTTACAGCCAAAACAGGTACAAAATGTGGTTGAGCTGAATGATAATGTATACTTACCAATTTTTTATCATATAACCAACCAGCTCTGAATAAGGCCATGCCTTTTTTTTTTTTTAAGTTAATAAATAGCTTATTTTTATATCCCTGTGGGCTTCCCATCACCAGGCCTTTTTACTTTAGTGCTTGTTTTAAAAATTAGGCAATAATTGAGTTCTTTCTGGCTGCTGTGTCTGTGCAAGCCTCTTTTCCTTTCCTTTTCTTAATAAATCTGTCCTTTTAAAATGTAAAAAAAACTAGTAATAAATGAAGAAGGTCACAAACTACTATGGATAAAACTTCAGGACATTTCCTAAGTAAACCAGGTCAATCACACAAAAACAAAAAACAACAAATACTCTGATTCTACTTTAGGCAGTTATCTAAAGTAGTTAAATTCACAGACATAGAACCGAATGGTGGCTGACAGGGTTAAGGGTGTAGGGGAAGTGAGGAGTTATTCAATAAGTATGAGAAAGTTCTGGAGACTGGTAATACAGCAAAGCGAATAATATAAAACAGTATACTGAATTATGTACTTAAAATAGTTATGACAGTACATTTTATGTTATTTTGGCACAAAAAAATTTTAACTTAAACTTGGATGGAGCTGGAAAAGATCATGCTTAGTGAGATAAGCCAGAAAGAGAAAGAAAAATACCGGATGGTTTCACTAATAGCAGGAGTATAATGGACCAGACGAGAAAATAACAAAAATAATGAACAACCATATACCAGAGACATTTTGTGGGGGAGGAGTGGGGAATGGGATCAAAAATGGGGGAAGGGGAGGGAGAGAGAGAAATGCACGGGATTATGGTGATGGCACACGGGTGATTTGGTGATGAGAAACCCGCGGGGATTACAATCGAGATGGAAAAAAAATGATGTAAAAATAAACTTATGTGGCCCTCCCTGGTGGCGCAGCGGGTTAGAGCACAGCACTGAGAATCTAAAGCCGCTTCCTCATGAGTTCGATTCCCGCCTGCCCCGGAGGTGACCACATGGCGTGGCAGACCTCTCCTGACCCGCCCGCTGCTCCCCTCAGCAGTGTATTTCGTTGATCTGCCTGTTCTGCACTCCACTCTGTCTCTGGTGAATTCTCTCACCCTCCACATCTCTGGCCTGTATCCCAGTTCTGTATGCACAAATAAAATAAAATCTTTATAAAAAATAAATAAATAAATAAACTTATGTAATAAAAAAATAAATAAATAAAAGTGCTATTTCTCCAAAAAAAAAATTTTTAACTTAAA